TGTGAGACCCTGGGATCCTACACGGCTATGGTGTATTGCCTCCCTAAACCCTAAACCCTAAAACCTAAACCCTAAACCCTAACCCTAAACCCTAAACCCTAAAACCTAAACCCTAAACCCTAAACCGCCGCTCCCGGATTCCTTGAAGCTCTAATCCCTCAGTCAAGCCTTAAGACCAAGGTCTCCGGACAAACACCACTGACATGGAAATTTCAATCAACAGGGGACCCTGATATAGGCCCCCCTACATACTCCGATCCTTGTTCTGTCCTACAGGCAGCCTTCTGTTCTTGCACAGCCCTACGGATTCCTATATACAACTAGATAGCCCTGTATATCCACAACATTTTGAGTTTACATCCTGAACCCTATAACCCCTCTGAGGGAGCTCCTCACATGTTGGAAACCCAATGAATCCAAGCAATGATTCCTGGCATGAGGTTGCGTTGGGACGCCCCACAGTAAGTGCCTTGGCCACACTGTAAATCAACAGGTCTGTGCTTTCGGCATGCACGATCACTGCGGGCACGGCATTGTTTAGAGTTCTAACTGCCAACATTTTGGGATTTAGGGCAGGGATACTCTCTAGTGAATCCCATGAAATATTGGACCTTCATATCCCGCATAAACCCTTAAGAGTCCTGTCCCATGAAATCCGAAAGAACGACCCCCCTTAGCACCCTGGTATCCCGGGGTCATTTTTTCATCTTTAGGGTTTAGGGTTTAGGGTTCAACCCAGGAGCAGCCGTCTGAATGCGTGCCGCAGCCATCATTTGCATGCTAGCATCCTAAGTCCAGATGGTGCGGGGAATTGGGCCTGTACGCCCTGATCCGTTGAACCAGTAAAAGGAAATCAACCAACAATTCCCAAAAGCATCCGTGGCTCTGAGTAGAGTGGATTGCCAGGCATGGTAACACTCTCGATGCAGAAAGGGGTGACAGCTGCTTCTTCCGCCATGCTCTTCGAGAGATCTCCGATGAACAGATCCTTGTTCCCCGACATGGTGAGATATGTGGGCACATTCGGCCCAGGGGTGGTCGCAGGCGATGTGGCTTTGTGATTCTGCACTGCAATCTCGCTGACCGACAGAATGCTGTAGTCTCGGGTTTCTTTGGTCATCAGGCCATATGTCTGCTGGCTGTCGGAGTTGTAAGAGACCACAAATGTTTGATCCCCGCCACAGAGCTCATTCTTTACAGCCAGCATTGTATCACTTAGTGGCACAAGCAAAAGATAGTAGGCCAAGAAGACAAGCACGATCAGCGATACCATATGCACGAATGACTCGAACTGACTGCGAGCTCGGCTGTACTTGACTTTGATAGGCTTCAGGTTTTGAATAGCCTTAGTTCTAGAAATCTCAGTTCCGGCCTCTGTACTACTAAGCGCAAAAAAAAAACCAATTGCAAGCAACTCAGTAGCCAGGTTGTTTTGGGCCACCAAGGAGCATGCTGGATCTTGATAGGCGTCATACCTGAAAAGAGAAACTCATCAACATCCAGGATAGCATTAAGCGCCACGGCATTCAGCATCAGCTCTTCAATGGACGTCGTGCGTGCCAGCCACAGAATTCCAGCTGCAAGCAGAACAGAAGCAATGACTGTCCGAGAAATGTACGTCACCAACAACAAGGCGAAGCGCCCACGTGACATACTGATGAAGGAGTTGTTTTTGAATCTCGTCCTGTCACAGACTTGAATTAGGGGCCTGCAGAGGGGGAAGTTGGGCTCTGTTAGATCTCCCCTCTCCAGCCCCGAAACCTATAAATCATACGGTACAGGCCCCTTAACCCAGCCCCTCCAAAGCAATCAACAATCCTTCGACGCCGGGGAATCGTCCAAGCTGCCTCCAACTGCAGCCAAATTCGCCGGAACTCCTTCAAAAAACTTTGGTGCATATGAGGGTTTCAGAGTTAGCTCTTTGGAGGTCCCACAGTTGAGGACCGCATTATTCTGACCTTATTTTCGGCAATGTTCATATAATGCGCTCCGCTACCAGAAACCTAGCTACGGCCCCGGCATGGTTGCAAGGCTTCAAGCAAGGCTTTTTCACTAAACGAAGTAGGATCCAAAGGTTTAGGGTTTGAAGGTTAAAGGTTTCAGGGTTTATGGTTTGGGTTTTCAGGTTTGCATGTGGGGATGGTGGGGCCTTGTGTCCAGCTACTTCATCAAAGGCACATTCAAGTCCTGATCGCTGTTAAGCCCAACCTGGGACATGCTTCACTCTGAAGATTTGAGCATGTTCTATAAACTCATCCTCTCTCTAGCTGCATAGATGGGCTTCCATAAGTAGGAGGACCCCTATTTACCGTGGTCCTTATTCTAGGAACTCCCAAGACATGACAGGTTGGTCAGGGTTTAGGGTCATTAGGTTCGCATCCCGTAAGCAGTCCTTGTAAACGCAAAGCGTCCACAAAATGATGCATATCATACTCAAGAGCACCTCAGCGGTTGCAAGTAGGGAATAATAAGGAGTATTGGGTATGGGGCTTACTGTGGGAAACTAGATGTCTTAGGATTTTCCTTTATGGTTCCCACTGGGACACCAGATATGCGTAATATGCACTCACCAAATATTCTCGAGGAACCCTAAACTACCAAAAACCAC